TACCAACAATTTTAACCAAAAAGGAAATAGAAAAACAATGAAGACAAATGAGAGTAACATGCAATCAGATGTGAGTTGATATGTGTTACTTTCATCAAATATCAATGATTTTATTGATAGGCCTCAAATATAGACTAAAACCAATCTAAATATTCCACAAGGTCGGATAGACAGCCATATATCTCACCATATACTTGAGGATAGAATTTAGACAGCACCACAAATCATTGACCAATGATCCCAGATTCTAATAGTCATGAATTGTGTCCTGGATGAGCATGTATCACTTGGAATTATCCTCTTCCAACCTTTAATTGATTAATACTACTACGACCTATCAACAGAGACTATTGAAAAGAATAGACATTTATGCATGCAATATGCATAAAATGAACCCGTAAATATCTATATATACATTGTCCTCTATAAGATTAAAAATTCTCCGAAGTGCAGTAATGTGTCCAACAGCCAGACAAAAATTTTTTTTTTTTTTATGTGAGATAATTAATTTTTCATAGAATAACTTACCATCAGTTAATATTTTAGAGTACAAGACATCCTTACGGTGTCTACACAATCAAAAAATCCAAAGACATTTTTTTTTTATTCNTTTTTTTTTTTTTATGTGAGATAATTAATTTTTCATAGAATAACTTACCATCAGTTAATATTTTAGAGTACAAGACATCCTTACGGTGTCTACACAATCAAAAAATCCAAAGACATTTTTTTTTTATTCAACAATCAGGGGTGTGTCGACTAACTTATGCACACCTTGACTGATTCTCTCATCAGTCTAGTCAAAAATAGGTCATTAACGTCAAGACTAAAANTTCAACAATCAGGGGTGTGTCGACTAACTTATGCACACCTTGACTGATTCTCTCATCGGTCTAGTCAAAAATAGGTTATTAACGTCAAGACTAAAACCCCAAAGGATTGCCAAGATTGGACATCTAGGTTTACTCCTCGACCTAGGGACATATAGGTTTTGATACACATTACAAAGTTTTTGAGAAATTAAAATGGCAATATCAGATTTTTTATTTTTTAGAAAAAGAAAATACAGTATCATCATCCCATATATATATATATAATATATATATATGCACACATGTGTGTGTATGTGTGTGTGTAGATGTACATTAATGCATTGGCTGTCAATAAATAGTGAGGTCGAAATAATGGGGAAAAAGAGAGAGAGAGAGAAACCAATAGAGGTATAAAGCACAAGAGAACAAAAAAGAGGCCCTCGTGCAACTCTGGAGTTTTGAATGTACATCACAAATTTAATGAAGCTAAGGGCCATCGGCTGCGTGTGTGCGTGCGGGTAGACATTCCTCTCCCTCTCTCTCTCTCTCTCTCTCTCCAAATAATTATATGCAACCTTTTTTCGAGCCTACTGTTTGCGTTTTTTTCTGCAGTTCCGTGCACATATCTCTGATATGCCTAATTGCTATCATTCATACATCCCAATCCATCTTCTTGCTCTTCCCCACAAACCCCACCCCTGAAACGTAATAAATCTCGCACAATATTCATTTTGTTCTTTGATATGTTTGAACCAGTATCCAATCTCCTATGTCGGCAATATATCCCTAATTTATGCTTGAATTTTTTAACTTAAATTGAACTTACCCAGACAATTACGGTTTAAAATCTCAGGATGAATAGTGAATATTTGATGTTGAATTTGAATTGACCCGTTCAAATTATACCTCATATACATATAACTAACACATAACGTAGGTAAGAAAAACTCTGAAAATATGGTTGATAAATGGTGAATTAGCACTTACTTGAGTATTCCTTCCAAAACTCAGATTGGGACAATTTGGCACTCAACATCAAGACTTTTGCTAAAGTCTTTCTCTCTGTCGTTAGTCCAAGTCTATCCCTCTTCATTTTCCACACGGATGAATATCTACCATATGCTTTGATGAACAGTAAGTTACTAAGTTTAAATGAATTTTGATTATTTTCATCAAATTGCAAAAAGGGTACTGCATCTTTTGTGTCAAATCCCTTTCCAAGGATCTCCCTATGGATTCACACTTCTCTTCAAGTCACCATCCAGTCCACCTTTTTGTGCCAGATCAAGACAACCCATCAGCTTCACCAAAAGTCAAAAAACAAAATGAGAACACAAGAGATTATGAGAAATTACAAGACAATCCCTGTCTTATTATTAATACTTGTAATCTTACCAACTGATGAGACGGCTCAGCAGAAATGTACAACTTTTGTACGGTATTTCTCTCTTTTTATGATTTTGTTTGGTGGCACACCTTTGTGATCGAATTCCGGGCAATCCAAATTGAAGCCCACATTAATCTGTAAAAACGGTGCATCAATCAGAATTTTCTTTAAAAAGTTATCGCGATTCTCCTACCGACACTCAAGCTGAAAATATTGTTTGTACTGATCCAAGTTGTACTGGTTCTACGATGTACCCTCCCCTACGACACCCAAAAAACCAGGCTGAACTTCTAACAGCCCGCCCTCTTTTTTGCCATAGTTCATACCAGCACAATCATGTCCCAGTTTCAATTATGTTGGAAATAAGTCAATTCTCTAAGGTAGTCTTGTATTTATGTTTTGTAAGTTTGGTAAGAATCAATGTTATTGAGAAGACTCAATGTTCTTGACGCATAATTGGTTATATCACAGCAATTAGTATGCTGAGGGGCTGCTGCTAAATTTTGAGTCTCCCAAACCCACTTAAAATTGTAGGTTTTTGAATTTGAAAAATAGCTACTGCACCATGATAATCATACACATATTGCCCAATGGTGGAGCGGAGAAAAAATGGTTGGCTTTTGCTGGATCTACAAAATCATACCATCATGATGATTTTTTTCTACTATACAAGTAACAAACGCAGGTGAAGAGAAAGAAATATGGGCATAAGAATGAGCTATGAAACTTTGTTAATCAAACATCTTACTATAGAAATAAAACCCAGAGAGGATCTTTACTTGAGAAGATTTTCTTGAAAGCCATCTTCCTGTATTATGGGTTTGGAGGGTAGCTTTGGCATTTAAAGTTTCAAATCACTTTGTCATTCTAAGTTAATTGAAGTGATTAGTAGCAAACTGAGTTTATGCCATCCTCCAGGAAGAGTCCAATGATTATTCTAAGTGGGTTGACATTACCTAAAGAAAAAGGCAAGTCTTTTCTATCATTCTCAAATAAGGGATCCAAAAAGATTTTAAATGTAGAGATATTATAAAATAATAATGGGCAATCTCGTAAATCATTCAATTAAGTTTCACTAGGCAAAACACACCAGAAGTCAAATGCGGGATGATTTTCTAGGAATTACAGTCCACAGGTTCAGACTACTACAAGGGGCAGTCTAGGTTGAAACAACAACCTCTCTCTCTCTCTCTCTCTCTCTCTCTCTCTTCACTTATTCGAGGGGTAACCAAGAATCTGTCATCTAGTATTGTTTGTAATTCCATGGACAGATCCAATTGATAGACATGTGAACCACTGAGTTTAAAGAGTGTTTTTCTTCTTCCCTAATGAGGTGGTATGCATGTGCCTCTTCAATTGTGCCTATATAAACTCCCATTAGCTGCCTAAATAAATTCTCATTAGTTATGTCCTCTTTGTCTGTGCTTCACCATAAACCAAAATCAATTCTCAAAACGTCTATTATAAAACTATGTCGATAAAATGTTTCGGTATCATATCCAAAAATAATTTGTAATACTAAATTTTTAAGTAATTCAGTTATAGTCATGGATCATGAAAATAAGAAAATAAAGTGAAGTAATAAAGATATAACTTTACATGTGTCGTATTGTCATTAGTTCAAAAAAAAGAGATATAGTACCATAATTGAATCTTAAAGTTCATGTCTAAAATGTGTAGTATTGTCTTTGGTTCAAAAAACAACTCTTTAGCTGTAAGTGAATAAATCACTTGAAAAAAATTTCTTTTACTGATGAAAAGGTTCTTGAGGTCTTGACTAGCTGTTTCTACTTTCAAGCGAACCGTTTTGCATGTCCAGTAAAAAGTAACAAACAATAAAGTCATTTAATCTTCTTGGGTGTGCTTTCGTAACAAGGGTTTTAAGACAAGGATCCCTCCGGGTGCATAGTTTTGGCGTGTTAGGCCTTTCTCTCTCTTCACATATGGGAGTTCACAGGCCTACATATACACACACGTCAGACTAGCTTAAACTAGAGCAAGCCATACCATTTACATCTCTCTCTGAAGTGGTTGAAGCTTCTAGGGAGCATCAATGGCTGTGTTCTTGGTGATTTTTGGGATGGTTTTGGTGCTCTGTATCTGCAGCACTGCTCTTTTGAGATGGAATGAGCTGAGGTACAGGAAGAAAGGTTTGCCTCCCGGTACCATGGGTTGGCCTGTTTTTGGGGAGACTACTGAGTTTCTAAAGCAAGGTCCAGGCTTCATGAAAAACCAGAGAGCAAGGTTAGCCTTCTTTTGAGTTTTGCTTTGGGTAGATTCGTGTTACAGGGTCTCTTCTCTCTCTTCTTGTCTAGAAGGCTTTTGTTTGTAATGGTATGTAATTGGTTATGGCGCTGTTTCTCTAATAGGTGCTTAATTACGGATAAAGTGCTATATTGCATCAGCTAATAGAATTTCTATCCTTTTCCATGCTCTACTGATATGTGATTTTAAGTGGGGCTTTGGGTAGTTCTGGCTTAAAAAAACTTGTGCTTGGTTTTCTAGGAACATTGGATTTATAACTTAATGATCTATGACTAAACATTCTAGTAGTTTATAATCTAATTTGGTGTAATCTTCTAATGAAATTACTAAAACAGATATGGAAGTTTCTTCAAATCCCACCTACTAGGCTGCCCTACCATTGTTTCCATGGATCCAGAGCTCAACAGATATATCCTCATGAATGAAGCAAAAGGACTTGTACCTGGCTATCCACAGTCCATGCTTGACATCTTAGGGGAATGCAACATTGCAGCTGTTCATGGTTCCACTCACAAAACCATGAGAGGGTCCTTGCTTGCTCTTGTTAGCCCCACCATGATCAGAGACCAACTTCTGCCAAAAATAGATGAATTCATGAGATCCCACCTATGCAATTGGGATAACAAAGTCATTGACATTCAAGAAAAAACCAAAGAGGTTTGTGTGGAGTAATCAAAAACACATTCTTATATAATTTTGTTTAAGTTATATTTCGTAAGCTCTCTGTTTTAATCTATTGAGTGTAACCTATTTTTGTCCAGATGGCATTCCTATCATCTCTCAAGCAAATTGCTGGTATAGAATCTGGATCAATAACTCAGACATTCATGAGTGAATTCTTTAAGCTTGTATTAGGAACCCTTTCACTGCCTATCAACCTTCCTAGCACAAATTATAATAGGGGGTGTCAGGTATATTGCCTAAATATATGTCTGTTTCTAGTCTAAAATGAGGTGAGCCTGTATATTGATTAAGTGAAATATGTTACAGGCAAGGAAGAACATTATCAGCATGTTGAGACAACTTATTGAGGAGAGAAGAGCTTCCAAAGAAATCCAACATGACATGCTTGGTTTACTATTGAATGGTGATGAAAATAGACATAAACTAACTGATGAACAGATAATGGACCAAATCATAACAATTTTGTATTCTGGGTATGAGACTGTTTCAACTACTTCAATGATGGCTGTCAAGTATCTTTGTGATCATCCAAGAGTTCTTGAAGAACTCAGAGTAAGTAAGAAATTTCAATATTTCAAATGGTATTATTATCATATTTTGATGCCTCTAATTATAGCTTCATTGAATAAATTTTATAGAATGAACACTTGGCAATTAGAGAAAGGAAAAGGCCAGAGGATCCAATTGACTGGAATGACTTCAAATCTTTGTGTTTCACCCGGGCTGTAAGTAGTAGAAAACTTTTGTTCTTACATATAGAATGTCAAAAAATTGAAGTTTTGCAACTGTGAATAACCATGATGTTTATGGTGCAGGTGATCAATGAGACCTCAAGATTAGCTACAATTGTTAATGGTGTCTTGAGAAAAACAACTCAAGATATGGAACTGAATGGTGAGTGGATTAGTGCCCAGGTTGTTCATTTGAATAAAATAGAAGAAAAGATACACAGTGCGTTTATTGGTTCTTGCTTTTTTAGTCTTTAGGGGCTCAAGGAGCTGTGCTAGACAACCTATCAGTTAGGAACTTTTTCAACAAATATATATATAACATTAATAAAGTGTGTATATTTATGAGATCATCTTCTTCCAATGGCCCCACTCTATCATGATACACATGGCATACTTACCATTCCAGCTTGTCATCGGATTTGACCCATGTCTTATTTAATGAAAAATTATGTCTCTACTTTTTCTGAAGATAGATGAAGGTTAATTTTCTTTCGTTATTATTTTTTCATGAGGAAGCCGAATCGTAAATTTATGTAGAATTGAAGCTTTAATTCCTATTATCTTGTGCTCAAAGGTTTTGACAATATAAAGGTTTAACGCAATAACATAGTCTAATTCTCTAATTTAATTCGTATGATCTTTCCTGTCTTTAAATATCATGACCTCATCAATTCTCTATTTTTTTTCAGGATATGTTATTCCCCAAGGATGGAGGATATATGTGTATACGAGAGAGATCAACTATGATCCACGTCTATACCCTGAGCCTTTTTCCTTCAATCCATGGAGATGGCTGGTTTGTGACCACAATTATAATTAATTCTTCTTTTGCCAAATTAAAGTAGGTTCAGTTACTGGTACAAATTTTAAGATTCTAATGTAGTGTTTGCTAAATGCAGGATAAAAGCTTGGAGACACAGAACTACAATTTCATATTTGGAGGAGGCAGTAGGCAGTGTCCAGGGAAAGAACTGGGAGTAGCAGAAATTTCTACATTCCTTCATTACTTTGTAACTAGATACAGGTACCAAATTCCTCCCCTGCCAAATGTTTCAATATTCTCAACCCAACAAGTCTTGTCCTAAAGTTTTGTGGTCGGCTCAAATGTTTGAATGCTTTTCTTGAATGCAGATGGGAAGAAGTAGGGGGAGAAAAGCTGATGAAATTTCCAAGAGTTGAAGCACCAAATGGACTGCACCTTAGGGTTTCAACTTACTGACTAACCCCATGATTGTACAGAAGACATATAACATATTAATAGGAACATTGATGTACCAAAATGTTCTGCTAACACACTAGAATTTTGAATGAAATTGACAAAATCCTTCGCAGCAAGCAGGGTTCAACAAAAATTAAGCAGCAATCTTCAAATCTCATACATGATAAATCTACACATAGGTGTGATTGATCACATTCACATCACTGCTTGAAGAAACAGATTTCTTGGATAGAAGATTATGGGAAACAAACGAAAAAAAACACTAAAATCTTGGGAGAAATTAGTGATAAATCCAATTATAGGTTTAAAAAACCCTCCGAAATTGCATTGAATAGGTAAATAAGAGCAGAGTTGTTAAGAACACTTTACCTCCTCCGACCGGGACAGAGCGAAGTCCACAATCCCATCTCTATCATGTGGGTGAAAATTTTCCTCATCTGCGCGACGAAGAGCGACAATGGATTGAATGAATCCAGACAATTGAAAACTAGGCGTAGTTTTATGATTTCGGAGTAGTAACGTCGGTTGGGCAAACAAAAGGTTTGAAATCATCATGGGTTTATGTGGATAGGAGGCGGTGTCTCACCTCCCAAATGGGCGGCATGAGGTTCAAATTTCTGTCAAAATTGGAGGTATATATATACGTACCCTATTCTGAAAATGTTGGGTACCGGTCCAACTTCCAGGATGGAAGTTCAAGTCATAATTTACGTTGGGTGGGCCGGTGGTCGACCGCTATTCTAATCTAATTATATTCGTTTTTGAGATTAGTAGTGGATATACTCATAGTCTCATGATCCCACCCATAAAGATTTATTGGAGTGGTCTTTTGGCGCTCTAATTTATCCTCGCACCTTTTCTGAATAAGCAAAAAGAAATTTGTAAGGGATGAAACCCTCCACTCAGGATTTCGGCTTGACCTCCGCGCGTTCGGGAGTAACATCGGAAGAGAGTCGTCTCCCCCCCTCGCATATAAGCCCTTGCACTCAAAGGAGGAGGTACCCACTAGTACCTGATCAGGTCGCTAGTGGGTACCTCCTCCTTTGAGTGCAAGGGCTTATATGCGAGGGGGGAAGACGACTCTCTTCCGATGTGGGATTGCCTTAGGAAAGGGTCCTATTGGCGAAGAGAGGTAAAGGCTACTGGGGGGTCGCCCGCGTGGGTTAACCCAGGTCAAGCCGAAATCCTGAGTGGAGGGTTCTACCCCTTACAAAAAGGCGCCTTTTTGTAAGGGATGAAACCTTCCACTCAGGATTTCGGCTTGACCTCCGCGCGTTCGGGAGTAGCCTTTACCCCTCTTCCTGAGCCGGAGCCCTGGCCTAGCCTAATGTGGGGAGGGCGCACCGTATCCCACATCGGAAGAGAGTCGTCTTCCCCCCTCGCATATAAGCCCTTGCACTCAAAGGAGGAGGTACCCACTAGCGACCTGATCAGGTGCCTAGTGGGTACCTCCTCCTTTGAGTGCAAGGGCTTATATGCGAGGGGGGAAGACGACTCTCTTCCGATGTGGGATTGCCTTAGGAAAGGGTCCTATTGGCGAAGAGAGGTAAAGGCTACTGGGGGGTCGCCCGCGTGGGTTAACCCAGGTCAAGCCGAAATCCTGAGTGGAGGGTTCTACCCCTTACAAAAAGGCGCCTTTTTGTAAGGGGTAGAACCCTCCACTCAGGATTTCGGCTTGACCTGGGTTAACCCACGCGGGCGACCCCCCAGTAGCCTTTACCTCTCTTCGCCAATAGGACCCTTTCCTAAGGCAATCCCACATCGGAAGAGAGTCGTCTTCCCCCCTCGCATATAAGCCCTTGCACTCAAAGGAGGAGGTACCCACTAGGCAGCCTAGTGGGTACCTCCTCCTTTGAGTGCAAGGGCTTATATGCGAGGGGGGAAGACGACTCTCTTCCGATGTGGGATTGCCTTAGGAAAGGGTCCTATTGGCGAAGAGAGGTAAATGCTACTGGGGGGTCGCCCACG